AAAAATACAACCTACGCGGATCAGAGCTGTTTTTTTATATGGTTTCTAACTGCAAAGGTTGAGATGTGGGTTAACATGCTGTGCTCCTCGAATTTTCAGTTTTGAATCCAAAATCACATACGACCACCATAAGGCTTTCCAGTAAACTATCGTTGTACGGCAACGAAACACCAGTGTTGAAAGCTGATGCTGACGGTAATGATAATGTCTGTTTGTCTGTTTCTTGTTTAAATGAGAGGTAATCAAACTGTTATTGAGACTCCGATGGTCTGACAATCAAGTGTTCAACCACTGACTAGAAGGTAGCGGATTCGAACCCCTGTTAGCCTCGCCAGATGCACACTGGGGTTCCGAGTACTTTTCGGCTGACCTTCCCGAATATCTGGTCCTGCACCCAAAACTGCGTGCAGTCACAATATGGCTTTCAAATGAACTATGTCTGTAAGGCAACGAAAAATCAGTGTGGTGTCGATGAGGATGGTGATGAATCGTGTGCGTCAGCTTGCATTTCGTGTGTCGTTAGTGTAAAAACCACTGAAACCTGCATAAAAATCGAAAAATTAATCGAGCTTATCGGCTTTATAGTGATGTCATCCAAATCGACGCGTACGCTACCGCATGTCACAAACATAAACACTGGAACTGCCTAATGTTCCGCCAAATTTCTGTCTAATTTATCAACTCCGAAATGTTAAGGGGTATTGCGTGACCACTGTAGCAGACTGGACTACTTAGAATAAACGGATTTGTAATGCAAACGAAATAACACACCCCTGATATGTTTGTTCTCTCAGTGACCAGTAATTACGCATAAGCTGAAAACCGAATTGTGGGTTGGCAAAATTCATTTGTCACTGCAAACACTGGTTTCAATCTGCCTTTGACACGGGCCTTTTTGCAGAAAAACGATAACCTTACTCAACTTATGGCAAATAAAGTGCCCAGGTTTTAATCCATGCACAACTGTGGGGAATGACTTACGGACTTCTCTCACACTGCAAATCAGGCCAGCGCGAAGTTTCACCGGATTTTCTTCGATCAGAAATGCTTTGTGACCTGGATGGCCCATTGCCTGCTGTGATACTATTCACAGAGTTGACGGGCACTCTTAGATAGCCCCGTTTGACGCGCAAAAATATATGTCAAGTGTGATCCAGTTTGTTTGAACTACAGATGTCGCTGAAAGTGCCTGTCATAAATCAGCTTATGAATCGGTGTCTTCATTCGTTTGCAGGTTGTTCGACAAATTCGTTTCATACAAAGCATATGAAATGCAATATACCAGTTTATCGCGATAGTCTGCATGAGCCCCACGAGGTTCCATATTTCTGAAGCAAATACCACGTGCTATTCAAACCGTTAGTCTCCAGGTGAATTCACTTTTACTCTGACAGAAAACGTCTAACCTAAACTGTTTTGAACAGCGAGAATCTACCTTAAGTCTGGAATCCCAGTTAAACCGAATATGATAGATTTTCTCAAAACTTCATTTGCCGCTCAAGAGAATATTGGTAGCTTAAGTAGCGTAGATGGTTTTTGGTTCGTTCTTTGAGCTGGAAAATTTCCAAACGTCTCGTCGCCAGGCAAGATGACATCGGGTGCGTTGCTAGTGTACGTTGTAAAACGTATGGATAAATCGTTGTGCGTTGAGTGGTGTTTACCGCTAGCCGAGGCTAATCTTCGACCACGATTGGTTGGAGATGGTGGCCTGTTTTTCTGTGTTCTGATTCGCCGGTGCCCACGTGACTTTTAGGTTGGTCTCCCCTACTCTTGTACTTCAACACTGCTGCACTCTAATGCTAATCAATACCTCTTCGACTAAATGCCACCTGAACGTCTTACCGATCGAGTTATCGAGTTAATGGAAAATAGCGACTGAATCCATACCAGGGATTATTCTGCTTGTGTGGTCCCATGTGAAGTGCGATGCGGCAAATTTTTGCGTTTTCCTGTTGTATTGTTTCTCTTCTGTGAGAATCATACTGACGGGGGGATTGTTTTCTTCCTTTCCCAAACCATCTACATAATTTCAAAACTGACTACTGGTGTGACGGTGATACTACTGAATGCAGGCATGCGAGCAGTATGTTTTCCTCTTGTAAATTCGTTTAAAAAGGGAGATCTGTTGCGGATTTGTGGAGTTGCTTTGTAGCATTTGCTTGGACTTGAGCAACACTCAATGAATATCTAGGAAAGTTCAGAAAGACGCGTTCAAAAGAATATGGATGTTCAGTTTTTGTAATTAAGATGCATATGAGAGTTTTGCTTTCCTGTCCAATAGTCTGTGACTGGTCAGTTGGTATTTCCTAATGTACAACTCCGTAGCGAAGGCTTTCTTCCTTTCACTGGTAATATAGGTGCTCCGTAGCTTTTTGATTCGGGACACCGACTGCATGCGAATTGTAAACCTTACTAGCTACTTAAGAAGTGAGTTTTTGTAGCGGCGACCAACTAGCAATCAGCTGGTGTCAAACTCTTCTTACAATGCTAGCCACACGGTCCATGATATCAGTTGGTATAACTTTTGTCTCACATTTGTGAAACTGTACGCATAAATTTGACGTTTCTGTTGCGGGTTAAGTGAAGCTCCAAGCTTAATATGCCGTATGATACGTCTATTTCCGACTTTTTCTAGTAACTTCGCCTTAGTTCACCGAAGCTCCAAGCTTAATATGCCGTATGATACGCCTATTTCCGACTTTTTCTAGTAACTTCGCCTTAGTTCTTGACTATTCACCAAGCAGTGAAGTATATGGCGGCGGTTATGTTATTAGTCGAGTAGCAGATGGCTCAGGATGCTCCCAATGTGGTTGGTGCACTGACTCAAACAATGCGGATTTTCTACCTTTCATTACTTTTGTTCACCTGCTTTGTAGTTTTACCGATATGGTATAACAGCTAATTTGTGCAAACAGCACCATTTAATGGTAATCAAAACTCTACTTTTAAAGATCAAACCCAAGAGGCTGAGTTGCTGCTTGCCTCGGTAAGCACGGCTGCGTTTGTTCGGCTATAGTTAAATAGCAGGTTCGTACGAATTCCATTTATGGGTTTCATCCCGAAAGTAAGGTCAATCTATTTTCAGAAGGGAAACACATGGTTGCTTCGTACGAATTCCATTTATGGGTTTCATCCCGAAAGTAAGGTCAATCTATTTTCAGAAGGGAAACTACTCACATGGTTGCTGAAAATTCTTCGACAGCCCACAACTGATTTCGCCTTTTTCAGACTCATCGGGTAGGCACAGTCTCCGAGAATCCATCAACCCTATGTTTTACTTGAGGTCAACCCATAGTTAAAATTCTAGAATCAGCGAGAGAACATTTTGACTATTTGGAAGTCAGTAACCAATCATAAACCCACGGACAAATTTGGACTTCCATTATTCTGGTGTACTGCCGTTGAAACACGGTTGGTTGATCAGCAGTGCAGTTAGGCTACACCTGAATAAAATGTGTATATGCTATTCTTGTTGTTTGAATGACAACCTCCCGCAGGAACGCCCATTTAACCTGTGATATCTTTTGCCCTGAGTAGAGTACTTATAATTTTTGATTGTAAGTAGGCATTAAAGTTTTCACTATGACTCTCTTACTCTAAGTGAAGTTAGTAGATGGGAAAAAGCCAAAAAGCAATGTATACAAACAGCTGTACAGTGCCCTTCACTTTTCTACGTAACCTGACTTCACCTGGGGGGGATCAGATCACGAATAACCATACAAATCATTTGCAGAGTGACACGGTGATTAGTGGAGATATAAGTGAGAGTCAGCTGACTGCTTTTCTTCAAAAACGTCACCGCATGCATGTTTTCAATCGATTTTCACTATCCCAATGCTACCTATAAGGTTGTCGAATATTTTGACAGCTAACTACCGATTTTGACTCGACAGACCTCTCTTAAATCAAAGATCGCCAGAAGAACTAACCCTGTGGTAGACTGTTCAGCAACGCCAGCTGGATAGACTCAATTTTACATGTGAGAGGCTTTCAACTCCTTTAAAATTGTTCGACATTTGTCCCCTTCCCACGGTGGTTTCGACAAACTAAAGCAAATTTTAAAGAATGCTAACTCGTAATACGAAGTTATTGTGTTTAAATAAGGAAATGTCGAATCCTCACGTACGTATGGTCGATGCAGTCGTTACCAAAAACAATTTACGTGCGCTGTTAGCTTTTCCACATAAAAATGGCGAAAATCATATCACTAATTCAACGCACTGTATCAGCCTTCAGCTGAAAAAGTAACCCGAGTGCTGGGAAAGTTAGTCCTTTCAAGGCCAATATGTATTGCTACCACAGTTTCTGATATCAGAAAAACATTGCTGCACGTTCCAGGATAATTAACTGATCTGTTGGTTTTTAACAAAGATACTTAAAAAATGTGTCCTTTCATTGTACGGAAGATCCGAATAGTGTAAAAACTCTTATCTTGATTTCATGCAGTGTCCTTCATCCTTCAGTCACCGGACCTACACTTCGTAGTCACAGTGTTGAACGGCACCTTGAACAATGTCTTCTAAATGAAATTTTCACTCACTGAGTGAATTTTATTCTCCCTCTGAGCTACCTTCAGATCGTTCGAAGTGTGATGGAATTTGAAAATCACAAGGGAAGGTTTGCCCTATTAATGTAGCCAATCGATACAGAAAAGCTGAGGAGCGCCGTATGGCTGGATTCGTCCTTATTGGGAGATGCGCACTGTTGATGATTCTGAATAAGGATAAAATATCTTTGAGGTTCACCCAGCTTTTCACTTGGTTCACTCATGGGTCATAATCTCCATCAACGTTTTCAAGTCTGCTCACACTACCAACAACCTCCAGTTACTGTTTTCTTTGCATCTTGATTTGGGTCCGCTTTAATTGCTTGACTTTTGAGCTCAGGCTCAAGGACAATGCGATTTTGAGACAAGTAAACATCGCCACTTAAATCATCTCTGTTACTGCTGCATCAGACAGCCACCTGATCAAATTTTAATCATTCATCTGTTCCGTTAGGTCCGTATCCATCCGAATGGTCGACTGCTGCATTATTCCTATCCGCAAGGCCATACATCCTACTGGTACCATCGACTCCGGGTAGACATTCGTTTTGCATCGTGTGGAGATGTACTCACGATTGGATTCATTCCGGAGGAAACGACGCAGCAACTGCTCCAACCGGAGGTGAGTTTTTCCTTGTCTAGCCAGACATTAAATAACGATCAGGCAGCGAAGTGTTCAAACTCAATACACATACTGTATCTAATATCATCACACAACTACGAAACACTGACAGGAGCGCCACGGTTAGTTGGATTACATAATTAATTTATAGGGAAAGTGCACCTAAACTTCTGAGTAGTAGATATGCACGATAAAGTTTGGCGAGGGGACTAAGGTGGATTTTGAGAGCTTACACGGATGGTATGTTCTACCGTGAGTATGGAACAGACATGCAATTAGTATCAAGTGGCGACAAAAACACACTGGTCCTCAATGTGATGTGCACGTTTATGCTCCTCCATGGTCCACTGAGTGGTGCTGCACGTTTTCCGTTTGAGATTCACAGAGTCTTATGTCAGGTTGTCGAATGGATGGAGCTCAGACTAACACAGGCTTTTGATCTTGCAATCTGAAGGTTGGAACCGTGGTAATGTATTCTGTACCGTTCGCACCACCCTGGTAGTTTCATGTATACATGTGGTCAGGCAACGGCTTAGGCTGAGGTACTGCTTTTTTAGGTTTTGGCACCCTGACACTAAGCCCACCCACAGCAATGGACCATATGAATGCCAGCAATATCACGCTACCAGATACGATTCGGTCTGTCCTGGGTCAGCCAACTGAAAGCCACTCATCTTGAGCGTAGCACCCGCCAATCTTTAGATCAAAAGTTGGATACTTTATACTAAACGTTTGATAACCCTTCATTGTGGCAGATTTTGTATGAAATTACCATCGTAAAACATTCTAAATGGCTAATGTCTAGGGTCAGAAGCAACTAAAATCGATTTAAGCACTTTTTTCAATATGGAAGCAATTCAGGAAAACAGGGAGTTGAAGGCTAGAACGTTTTGTCACGGTGTTCCGAGACATGGGATTTTGAAGTGTAAACTGAAGGTTGCAGCCTAAATTAGGTGACTATCAAACGAGAACATAATTTTTCTTGTAGCATGCTATTCATTCACATTGATTTACATGAAGAACATTATAGCAGAAGGGGGCATCAAAATACGATAAATTCAAAGCCCTACTGGCTGGAATGATTTTGAAAAATGTACCCAGTTCCCATCATTGTGGAAGCATAAATCACACTGAATATTTGCCCACAAGTAGTATGGTTTTGTGACCCGGCCAGGATCAGCGACTGCCCTCACTGTACCCACTGTTCCGAGGAAGGATAGTAGTGAACAACTGCCGTTCTTAATTTCCGCCGAGCTCCTACGGATTCAGGTGGATGCATCTACGTTACGTTAAATTCATGAATATGGTTGGTACTCCAGATCGTTATGCACCGAGTAAGCAAGCTTCCATTCAAACATAGGTAGTGGACTAATAGCCAGAACCTAGCCGGTTTCCCGGAGATCTTGACCGAAGTCGTGATCAGCTAATTTTGACCTCAGCTCGCAAAATCTTCACCAACAACAGTAAGAATTTCAATATCGAGACTTTGGGAATCAAATATTTTGATGAATATGATCGGTCAATGATTTCCGAATAGCTACTGGTGACCACCCTAGCTTCATACCAGAATTACCAATATAGTGGCTAATTCAACATTTTTTGTAGCCATTGTGAACAAAATTATCATCAAACTAAGGCTGTGTGCAGCAAACTTTACCTCAAAACAAGTGAAAACGAAGTGACGGAACCTTCGGTTTGCTTGTACTGTGGAGGTTAGACCGTAGAGTTGTCTAATACTAAACTGCAAACAGAACTGTACTACGATACACCTAGTAACGTTGTATGCTTCGTTTGCATTCTCACAACATAGTCTGCAATAATCGTGTAAGGTCATTTACTCCAAAAGATAACCTTACATATAAGGTAAGCCAAGTTAGTGAATATTACAGTGTGACTGTCGAGGACGTTTGATGTAAGCGAGAGTGAATAGCTCTCGCAGAGATGCACTAACTGCGCCACTCCCAGAATATCCAGCAAAGGAGGAAAAGAAGCTAACCAGGTATGACAATAATTTTCGCTGAAAAGCAATGGTATCTAGTGATTGTATTCCGTATGACATCTTGATCTGCATAGGCCTACTAGATACACACAAGACACAGCTTGTTGATACCCAGAATCTAATCTTGAATGGAAAAAATCCTATCCTCCAGATGGAGCACTTTTGGCTCAACTTTTGACAATCAATTCCACGACTCATGTACCAAAGACCTTCAACGTATTCTAGTTATCCAGAGGTCTCCACTTTGGGTTAAATTGTACCGATTGAGCTCTTCATCAGATAGTCACTTAATCGACCGAAGCCCTCTTTTCTGAGTTCCTTGACCGGGATTATCTCAGTCGAGTAGTGAAAAAGCTCTGCAGAAGGCAATGATGGTTATGGTCCAGTAGCTTAAGCTGTGTTTAGGTGGTCAAGGCGCTCGCTGCCTTACTGACCAGAAAGTTCGTAGTTCTATCTCAACCTCTGCATCTGGACTGCTCTTGTCTTGGCTTGGGAAACTTAGTGGTATCTCGGCCCTCGTGCTCCCTTGTCTGACGTGGTAGTCTTCGGGTACCGAAAGGGTGTTACAGCTGTACCGTTTCTGATAAAAGTGTACTCTCCTCGTTTATCTGGGAAGCCGCTCTTTCTATGTTTTTATTTGTCAACGGTTAATAGCTGAATTCATTGACTTATTGATCGGTTGAATTGCCAGCGTATGTCTAGACAGGAGCCTCGTGAGAGCTGCAGTGTGAATATCGCAGTGGAAGTCTAAATGAACACTCCAAAGCAATGTCCACTAAGAATCGGCGTCAGCTTTATACTGAATTTATTACTGGCAAAGTGACTCATACCTCCTTCGAACGTGTCCCCTACAGCCGTGCAATCAACCTGACCTGAATCTAAGTTCTCTACTCAAACTTCAGTCAGTGAATGAAAACCATTCGCATGCACCAAAGGGGTGACGCAGACACCAGAGATTAAGTCAGATAAGGTTAAATAAGGTTATATGGTTACATTAGATTGGCTGCTACGTTCAAACAATCGTCCCTTTTAAAATGTAGACTTATCCATAGATATAGCAGTCCCATTCTCCCTTCGTCGGTGAATCGCATTTTTCCAACCGGACTGTGCTAACAAGCACATTGTTACTGTCGTTCTCGTAAAAAAGACTACCCTTAACAGGTCGGAACACATGTCGTAGATTCTCAACCAGGTTGTCTTGTAGCAAAATCTGGTCCTGTCATCGAAACAACTTAGAATTGCTGCAAACTGCTCTCTGGCAGATAAAAAGTGTTTCATCTCGTTATTGTGCTTCTGGTAGCAGGAAAGAATATGGGTTGTTTATCTACCGTTGGCGTGTGAACTACCTTTGTGTAGAGGAGAGACACCTCTGGTTTCGGTTGAATCGATGAGTTACATTGTGGACTATCACTTGTAGGGATTTCTGTTTCAGTAAAGAAGAAAACTTTGATGCTCCTGGAAGCATCTACATGTGGACATATTATCCCCAGTCTCGTCTCAATTATGCTGTTTCAGGAACTCCAGCTTACGTGTCACGAAGTATATCCGAAGATATTTGACTCCAAACATCGAATCATTTCCCTTTCATGGCGCACCGAAACCGGATCGACTGACCTGATCACGTCGGTTCTGGATGTACAAATGTCGGCATATATGCGTTTCGAAGGGAATTTTGGCCTGGTCGATAGTAAGTTTATTGGTCTACTCTGTCTAGCTCTGAAGATGTACCTGACTTGACAGATATTTAGGTTCATTTTGAACGATGATGTGCTCAGTATCTACGCTGTCCGTGTTCTATCCCAAACTTTACCGGATGAGGTATTTTACTTGCATGGTACTTCGCCTCCATGCAAACTGAATGATTCGTGTAGTTTATTGCCGCTCAAGCTCAGTTTCGTGAGTAACATGCTTGCGTTAGAAACTGAAGCCGAGTTTGTAGTGTTTTTTTTAAATCCACTCCTGTTTTTTCTCAATTTGGTTTTCAGGCTTTGAGGCTTGCAAGATTAGAACATAAAAGTGTGTTCGTTATCCCACTATTACAGCCGTCCTGGTTACCGTGTGATGAAACTGCGCAGTCAGATTTATTAGTTTTTTTTTCGAAATTTGCAACTTGCCATTTATTGCAAGGGTTTAGGGAAATGTCTGATAAGCATTTCTGAAATGCTGCTCTTGTAATTTCGCCTGAAATGAGGTCACAAACCAATAAATGTCTGTCATTTTTGGGTGAGAGAAATGTTTTTGTTTTGCTTGGTTGATGACGATGACAAGGAGAAAATTTCCTCCCCGGAATACTGACATTTATTCAACGTGCACATTAGCGTAGATCGAGTAATTAACCGAACAGTCTAGAGTAGAAAAGCTGACAAGGCTTTTGGACATCTTCCGGACAAAGCTTCTTTCTAAATTTTGGTCCTAGATAACGGAACGCTGTTGGTGGTTAAACATGGCGAGGTAATGCATAAAAAATGCACTCGTTCCGCGGGATCCAGTGACAAACTACGGAGTGAAGCTGATGTTGGCAATAAGTCTTTGGCGTTTAGGTGGACGTCGAATTTAGTAAGACCGCAAAACGGAGAAACTATTGTACAGCATTTATTTTGCTGTACCCGAATGAAGGCAGCTGTATCCGTATGAGAGACAGAAGTGACAGGAATGTGATGCCAGGTTCAGGTTAAATAAAACCAGAAGATTGTTGGACATTATTGCAGTATTGAGTGTGCAGTTTGACTCCGTGGCTTGGTGATCGAAACAGGTGTTCAGGGTGCATAGCATGAAAGCGAGTTCCCACAGATTAGGTAAACTAAACAACTAAGTCAACCGGGTTCCCATCACCTCGGTTTTGATTAGAGGGCTGTTGAGCTGTTCAATGATCTCGGCAATCTAATTGCAAATGTTTGATCACCAATCAAGGAGATATCATCATTTGTACCGCAAGACGTCCCGCTTTTGGGGTAAAAGAATGTGACCAACATGCATGAAATTCAGTGAGATGAATGGAAGGTCATATTTCGTGGAGTCAGATGTGGATGAATACGATATTCAGTGATAAAAAGCGTCGAATCAGAGCGCGGTTGGATGGCCAAACTCACCAGCAACATACTAAAACCAGCATGTTTTTTACGACCCGCTAAAAACTGAAATCACTTTAAATGTACAGGTGTGTGAACAGACAAGCTTCACAAAACCCCATTGATGGTCACCATCCACTTTCTTTTCGTTACAGAAATTCAGCGATGCGAAGCTGGGTCGGGATTTTGGTGTGGAAACGACACGGCAGTTTGCATCTACGGTCAAATGCGCTGTGATCAAGCGGATGGATGCTTTGATGGGGGTAGTGACGAAGTTGGTTGTCCACCGCCAAGGAACTACACAGCACCTCGTAAGTCCCACGTGGCTGGTTGGCCAACAACAGGTTGCTTTAGGGTACACGTAAATGCATCAATAGAAAGACTTAATTTAGAAAGTCATCAACGTACGAGGGTCAACTTTCATTCACAAAACATCAATTTCCCTACGACGATGAACCGTATTCATCACAGTCGGAATACGACAGCCATAATGTTTCGGCATGCGATTTCATAATGAACAAACGATGTTAGCGCTAAATTCTTCCCGAAAAAGGGCCAATCCAGCTTGTTTTATGGTTTTGTTAGCATAGGATGACCAAACAAGACATCACCATAATGGATGGCACTTAGAAAAGCAACAAGTTCATAGTCTTCCGCAAAGTCATCTGCAGCCTACCGCCAAGCGCTCAAATGCAGTTCGCTGCAGTTTGAACGCTATTCCACAATATTGGCTGTTTCGAGCGTTTTAGCCACTGTTCGCCAAGACACACTCCAGCTTGGCAAGCCCTCGGACGAAAAACCTCCAAATCTGGGGACAGTATTGGTCCCTGCTCAAATTTTAGCTTCTCTCCGGTACGAACGCAACTGACAACGAATACGGTTATGGCTTCATGTTACGATGATCTGTTCAGATCTTGCTCGCTGCTCTACCCATCCACCTTGAAGAACTTGTGCTTTATAGTGTATACCAAGGTGTTCAACAACCTTTTCGTTATTAGAAATACACTGTCTCCCGGTCAATTTTTTGATTTCAAAGCAGTTTATTAGGAATGTCTGTCATGAGATCGTGTCACCACCAGTCGAATGGTACAAGCTACATACGCTGGATGGCTTATACCCTCAAATCAACTCTTGAACTACTCGGATAAACTCCGGTTAAACTCCTCAGTGGATGAAACCCCTCGATCTAACTATAAACGGCTTGTGACTGGCATAAAAGCCACGTGTTTCTTCAGTAGACTGCGGTGGTGAGCAGTGAGTGCTATATTGATCAGACACAAAAACAAAAACAAGAGTTGTCCGGACGCAATACACTACTCATAAAGTTGCTGAAAACCCTTCGACAGCCCACGATTGGTTTCGCCCTGCGTTGGGCTCATCGGATAGGCACAGTGCCCCAGTTTCTGTCAACCTTATGTCCTACATGGAGCCCGACTGGACAGATTTTGAAAAGTAGTCTCATTTCCACACGAATTTAGTGTCGATAGGAGACTCAACTGACTCCAGCTGAATCTTTCCTTTGCGATCGTCCGCTTCTGTTTTACTAAGCTGTCTAATGTTTCACTTGGCACGACATTCGAGATACCGTAAAAGGTTGTGGTTTGGACGTTATAGGAGATGTCTTCCAATCACCTTAATTGACACAACTAACCTTTCATGGTATCACCTACTGAAAACCTGGTTTATACCGGTGTATGATACTCGTCCTCAATTTACCATATGATTCTGATGGTTATCAGCGCAAGTACCAAAACTGTGAAAACATATCTCACCTGAGACCTCAAGAATACAGTTTGAGCGATTTTTAGCTGAAAATTCAATTGAATAATTAATTTTTATGGATTATTACAATCTAACGGACGGTCCATTTTGATATTTTCAATGCTGTTTTTACCTGTAGTTTTTTTCGGAAACACCTCGTTACCTGAATTGGTCCTAGTGTGAAGAGATTCGGTAGTTTTCAAATTTTGATAACCGATAAACCGATAAACGCTGTGTAGCTGTTTCATCCTTATTGAGCCACGTGTCTCACAAAACCTCAGTGGGAAGTTTCAAACCAGCACTCTTCTGGCTATCAGTTTGAACATTTATTCGTTTAGCCTCGAGCAACTGAACAATTGTGTGGCCATATCTTACTCGAATAAGACATGGACTCACTCGTCCTTTAGTTGTGAAAACTATATCAAGCGATCACTCAGTGGTTAATTCCCTGAGTGAAAAAAAATCTCAGAATAGAGTTTCACTCATCTTGTGAAATTATTCGTTCTCTGAGCTACTTGTTCATTCGTCGTGATGTGGGGAGATATAGTAGTTTTCATTTAAGTCACCTGATCTACCAGATGTAATTTTTCCTCACAGATTGGTGGTGACGAACAAACCTAGGATGCAACCAACCGAATTAGATGCCTCACTTTATGGAACAACTCTCCGTTGTTAAACTCCACCATCGACTAGTGTCTGGGCAACATGGATGGGCGTTAGCCTTGTATTACATTTTGACGGTAAACGCAGCATTTTTCGGATGATCCCAATAAAGAAAGCGGGCAATGAGTACTTGAGTTTTATCGGGTTTTCCAGACAGGAATCTCGTGACTTCCGGTGACTCAGCCATCCAGGTGGACCCTACCCGGATCCTTTGATTTGTATTGTGTATCTCTTGCACTTGTCGCTCACAGCCAGAGTAACACTATACTTTAAGTTAACTTCAATGAATCTTGAGTGTTGTCCACAGAAGTCTCTTCAATTTGCAAACTCATCTGACGTCTCATAACAACCGAAGCTACCGTGGTCCCTCATTCCACTGCAACGTAAGAAATGACTGTTCGCCTAAAAACTAGAATTCAGGTCCACTATGACTACCTAGTCACAGAACTCAGACTGCCTACTTCTATACACACAAACTATCTCAGGATAGTGACTCAGGGATCAGCTTCTCTACAACACACCCTTGTCTCTTCAAAACCGCTGTGTTCCAATCTTTTAAACGCGTGTCAAGCTTCCTTTTGGAATAGTACAGTACTCTACGGACGATATGATCTACCTCATTTGATGAGGCAAAAGATGTCTTGAACAACTAAGGTACCACGATCACCATTGCGGAGGGTGTTATCGTCACGATAAACCGTCTGCATAGCTCCGCTTGCCCATTGATGTTCTTTCAAGGATGACGCCTGTTTTTTGTGTCGAAATAGCGCTAAGCTACTTTCTCACGCGTACATGACCTGGCACTGATTTATCTCAGCTGTTCTTTTACACTGCCTTTCATTCCACTGGTATGAACGCTGTGCACGACGGTCAATCAGAAATGAAAACCGACAACTTCATGTAGTCTCTGAAGTCAAGGTATTGCAACCCGTCCACTTGCACGTGTGAGTGCGTGCGCCCACATACACATACAAATTGCATTTAAAACATGTGTTTTAGGTCAAACTGTCCAGGTGCATTGTTTTGGCATTTGCGCCTTCGATTTCCACGTACAAGTTTGACAGCTTACCCAGCATAGGCTAGTTCAGTGCGGATACGGAAAATTCAACTATAGCATGGAGTTTTGGTAGAGTCAGTCATTCCTGAAAGTTTCGAAAGTCTCCTAGCAACGACCTCTTCACAGAAGAGGGTTGCGCCGGTCCCCCAGATGTTCTGGTAAGCAGGCTGTTATATCTGCTGATTTGCCAATCTGTTGTATCTGCTGCTGACCAGCTCCAGTGCCTAGTGCCGGAAAAAAGACTCACATAAGAGAACAAAACAGCTATATTCCGAACAAGCGAGTGAGTGCGTGCAAGTGCAAATGTTACAACGGCCCCGGGCTTTTAAGGGGCCCAGGCGTTTAATGAACACGCATCAATAGTAATGGTGCTTCTATGAAATACCGAGCTTCTGTGACATGCCTGAACATTCATCGGCTTCTGCTAAATTGGTTGAATGATTGACGAGCTTGGATGCTTACCGGATTTCCTAGTGAGATTTTGGTGGAGTTTTAGGGTCTCAGTAGGTTTCGGGCGTTCTGGGGTTACTTTCAGGAATCTTACCTTCCTGATACAAGCTACCGGCAAAACTTAAAAATCTCGAGTATCTACAATGACCTCATACGGTCATTCTTTCAAGTTCGTGGGTTTCATGGCTTGTTTGATCACAGTTAAGTAGACTGGGGGAAAGGTCCCAGTAATCATAAAACCCAGTGTGAATCGCCTATCTCGCCCATTCTCCCGTTCAAACAAGATTATTCTTGTCTCGCATGCTGAAATTTGGGAACTGCCGCGACAACTCCATGCACTTGTGATTGTTCCTCTTAAGATAAAACATTATCCTGAGCCGGACTCGCAATCACATGAAAGCACTCGAGAAACCACCTAAACGAGAATTTTAAACAGGCTAATCATCTGCCAAGGCAAATGAGAACTTTAATGCGTCATCGTCCAAAGCTTCACAGACAACATACACACTGCGCGAGCAGAAATTCTTTACCGACTGTATAATATATCCACTCCATGACTGAAGAAAAGTTGGTTTGGTGAGGCAGGCCTTTGGTTGTTTTTTCACGCCTACCTATCAAAGTTGTATTTTTATTCAAACTGCCTTCAAGTTCCTTTCTTTTGTCTTTTTGTTTCAATAGCTCCCGCCAGGAAACCATGGGGCACGTGGACAACATATCTCCCATGGACCGGTGAGTCTGACATCCTAGTTTCCCTTTGAAATTTGTTCTTGTAAGCATTTTCAGTAGGAATTTGGACAGTTCTTACTTGCGCTTTCTGGTTACCTCGATAAATGGTGCAGGTGTGAAATCCCGGTTGTACAGAAAGATTTGAACTCATTTTGAAATGGTCCAAATTAGTTTTAGTTAGATTTACTTGTCAAAATAGGTAAAAACCCGTTTGTATCGAGCGGTCTTAGTGGATTCGGGACTTGAATATGGGCACCGCAAAAACTTTTGTCAATATCCTACTCTGATTCTGTTCGACAGGCACGCGGTGTTTTCCTCTCCTTTAGTTTAATTTTTCGACAAGGGCGAGCCAGAAAGGCGGCACATCTGTTGGAGCCAGGAAGCTAAGTTTAACTTTTGCTACGCTTTATTGATTTTTCCCCTACTGATGTGATGAGTATTAACCATAAAATGTACACCATTAAGTCGACTCCTGATGTTGTAGGAATAAGTAAAGCTGAACACTGCTGTTGTTAATATACACCAGCTATTGGATTACAAATTATCCAAGTCAGTCCAAGTGAGTCTTGGAAACAGAATAGCTGGTTGATCAACGCACTTTTAAAGGTCACAGAATTTTAAGTTATGAGCTAAATTCTAATAGCCTATGCAACTGATAGCGGACTGAACCGTATCGTTCCACCTAATAACCTGCAGGTTGTGTGCTATGTCTGTAACATGAGAGATTTTGGTGAAATTTGGAGCGATTGCTCTTGAAATAGACTTCTTTCGGTCACGTGACACTTCCATTGAGTGCTATGTGACCAAATATAGTGTGCTTTACTATCGAGCACCAAACATTGATCGTACGACAAGTGGAGAGCCAGCCCAGCTTCCCTATCGCTTGGGACAAATCTAGTTGAGGTGACATGGTGTCATCTTCGGCCATTTGTCACGGATAAGTTACGTACCGGGTGCCCCTAAACTGGTCATGAAACAAGGTGAGCTAACGTTGCTATCTCAACTCATTATGGTCCCAATGTTCTCACCGGCCATTCGGGTTCAACTGTATCTTTGAGGGTTGCAACTGATATAACAGAGGCTGGTCGAAATTTCGAGTAGTTTTGACGACATTTCCCTCTTTGCAGCTCCTATATTTCCGGGGATATGCCACAACCGACAAAAAGTGGCTGTATCAAAATAAAAGCTGATTCCGCATCATTCGTTTGTGCTCAATTTTCTCCTCGTGACTATATAAGGGCCGTTTCCGTTGATAGTATCCAATAGAAAGCTCGGGGTTTTCGGAGCAAAAGTGAATTCCCCATCGTCACCATCACGGTTTTAAACTACTGGTTTCAAGCTACGGCTTTCCCTTAGTTTTGTCCTGCTGGTTTTCCATTAGTTTACTTCGCCGTCTTATCCGAATAGATTTGAAAGTATCTTCTTTTTAGTGAATGTACACTCATTTGCAAACTAATTTGGTTCTTTCGAGAGGCTCACCTGGAACCCAGATGAATCTCTCGTTTATGATGTTCTCAGGCAACTGAATGTGCTGCACCAGGCCGCCTCATGTTTCAGTCGCTACGATATTCGAGTAATACGCTCTGTTTGCCCAATGAAGTAGTTACCAACCTAATCACCTCGCCCCAAGAAGGGCGAAACCGGTCGTGGGCTGTCGATGGATTTTCAGCAACCTTATGAGTAGTACATTACAAAGATATCTTCTTTTTAGTTTATGCGTCAAAATATCTATCCAGCTTACTAACACCAGCCGTCAACCTATTTCCCCAAGCATGGTGAAGAAATACGGAAACTTCCTCTCCGGTTGAACAGTAACTTTTCTATCCGCTTGCTGCTGCATCCCGGCATGAGCTTGACTTAGGATGAAACTTGCTTTCCTATTTACCACAATCCCCGGGGTAGAATAAACCAGCTCAATTCGCACAGTTTCTAGAAGCCATGGAAGGCGTATGCGTTCGAGTCACTTTTGGATCGTTCTCCAGCATGACGAAGGGTCTTCTTCGGAGAGTCGAGCTGCATGGTGGCAAAAACGCTAAGATCGCAGTACTTGCATTATTTTACTGCATTTTGGAATATCTACAATAATGGTTAGCAGGAATACCATTCGGGGGTGTACTTCACTGCCGCTTAACCGAATATTTTCGGTGAGCTCACACTTAACTCTTTTCGCCTTTGAAGTCTTCTTAGAATAATCCACTGCTTTTGCTGCTTTACTCGGCTTAACCGCATCACAATTTCAGTTGAAAGGAATGAGGCTATCTTTGACGAATGATCTTACTGATCCCCGCTATCAAACTTTGCTTCAAAGTTCAAGAGCTAAAAGCTTTGTGAGACATTCTTTACTGTTCTGCCTTTGCTAGAGGTTTAGTAGGGTAACTTCTCAGAAGATTAATAGAATTTCATCCTATCTGTATAAATCCAATCAAATGATCTAACAGCAGCCTACAACTGATTGACTGGTACTTGCTGAAGGAAAGAGCCGTTTCTGTCACAGTCTGAGGCATCGGATCTGTTCGTAGCACAAATTAATGCATTCTCGCGGTTTTTTACAAGCAGACTTAAAAATAAATTCCACGATGTGATGATACCGGACTCAAACAATCCAGTAAATCGTCGGTTTTGAGCACCGATGTGCTGTCGATGATCACTCTGTTGACATGGTCCGAACTTTCTGTGGGCCGGGTTTCCTGAGCAGACAAGCTGATCATTGCATCCTCAATAGTTGTGAAGTGAAACATGCAACTTCGCTCATCATTACACGCTCTTCTAGCTTCGTCACTTGTTTTGACCGTCCTTCCACGTTTTGGTGGCCGGAAAGGGTTGTGCAGATAATTTGTCGTCGTTTTTATTGTTTCTTCCAAGGAGTGTTTCGTTCTTGATCCCATGGGGAACTCCGCTCTTATCGCATAATTTTTTCTTGAGCAGGCCGAGGTCATTTGACCAATTAGGAAAACAGTCCAGAACCACTCATTCTACTTCCACGCTCATTAAAGTATCCTGCCGTTGTGATTGATGTCTAGGCATATATTTCACTGTCTTGACGTATCATCGATTTTATTCCCGTCCACACCACTCGCATGATTGGTCAATAACTTGTTATCAGTGATAAAACTCTGCAGGAAGCGCTTGTCTCGGGTTGAGACTTATATTCTCCCACACTAGTGAGCGAGAATTACCCGATTTTGTTGAGTTTAGGATGTTGTATGGGACACGTCGTCCACACACACCCTTAGCTGGAAATACACTTCCATCTCCGGGCCATCAGCACATTTGGCCCATAGTTCCGTGGATGCTCTCTTGTCCTAGTGAATGCGCAGTGAAAGCTGGCAGTCAGGAATACAGAAGAAGAATTTGGAGCTTATGAAAACGCACCTATCTTTACCTACCTGTGGTTCGTCTTGTTGCTCCATCCAATTCCTGTTCACCTGATACTTAGTGAGTAAACTTCATGGGAAAGTCGATTCTCCGGCATTTCCGCTTCATGGGGGACGTCTTAGCTTTTGGAGAGGTTCTGTCTGGTGAAGTTTGCCGTACTAAACCAAACTGGTTGTTCCAAAGACGATTCCCTGGTCCTAGGGATCCCAATCCACCAAAGGACTCCCATTATTACTGCGGATCACCCAAATATTTGGTTTCCTAGCTATCAAGTCCTGCTTTTAGCGTAGTAACAAATCGTGGCTACCAGATAACACTTGCCTGGTTGGAGACACTACAAGGTATGGCTGCCAACCGGTGTCAGTGGCGTTCTTGTTGTCAGTTTCCGTCCAGATTGTTTGAGTGAATGTCTGGAGGTGTAGGCACCTCGGAATGCCTGTGGTAAGCTAGCACTAAGTCCCTTCCCCGTCCACTTTGCTCTTTTCTCTAAAATAACGCTTTCAAATAAATCATAGTTGTACGGCAGTGAAACATCGGTGTTGAACACTGATGTCATGCTATCGATGAAGATGATGATGAAGATGATGATGATTGCTTAGCAGACCTGGGAGAGCAATGCGACCATAATTGTGTAATTAGTCATTGGACAGACTATGTGCTTCATAGTTGTACGTGTCATTTTTACACTCAACTTACAATTATATGATGGTTTATCCGGGCGGCGTATTGTAGGCGGGAGCTGATAAATTGGTGCATAAATCCAGCACTGTCAGTGGGCTGTCAAGTGAAGGTGGGTTGGAAAAGGAGCTACGCATTGAAGGCAATAGCTTGAATGCACGAGCGCCATTGAGTGCGCGAGTGGGCCATATCTGACAATGTATCTAGCCCTTGATGTGGCCTGTCTCAGGGTCCGCATCCAGGAAGACGGTAATGACCAGCGCAGCTGAGTTTGCGCAGCTACCTAACCCTTCCCCTTCCCAAATCATCGGTGGACGAAACTGCGGCAGCTACAACCACTGTACAACGAGTACGCGGTTATTACAGCTGGCGATGATGATGATGATCCGGGCAGCGTTTGTATGCTTGGGGCGTTTTTGCTGACGGATAACGAGCGCGTATGAAACGGAAAACCTCTTGCATCTCCTCCACCGTAATGCATAAGAACGCAACCATTTTTACGTTGTCGTCTTGGTGAGCTACTTTTCTCACATGAAGGCGAACGCTTTATTTTTTTGTAATGAAACAGTGGAGACTCTGCTCAATCTTCGGCTACCCCCAGTCCGAATTTCTTTATGAATTTTTCGGCCAGTAAAGTATAGTATGCTGGAATTTTAGGCAACACTGAGGGTAACACAGTAGGGACTGATTTTACCATAGTAGTCAAACAGCTGCTAATTTACGTTGCCTGCTTCCAAATCAGAAAAGATTCGCCGATGACTTTAGACCTTTTAATAAAGGTGAAAACGCGTGGTGTCGGTCCAGGAAACGCGTTGCCCAAATTGCTTGAAATCACTGTGCATTGACTAGTTCCGTGCGCTTGTATTGAAAGTAACCTCAGGGCGTTGTGTTTAGATACCCGCAACGCTCACGAATTCGACCCGGTTAGTTTCGCTCAGACTCTCGTTTTCCTTCTCATTTTTCCTACGTAGTATATGCAGTATACTAGCTGTAAATCCCAAACTTCAACTTCAAATGAAGAAGTTTTCAGGGATCAGTGCTGGTGGTTACGGAGCTGATGACGAATACACAAGGCAGCTTTTCGAGGATCAGGTTTTCCTCCATCCAACTGCTCCACAATCAGGAAAGAACTTAAAGTTATGGCCTTGGGATCCCACCTGCTTGAATCCAGTTAAACAATCTTCCTTGATTGGTGGTGTTTTAAATTTGGATTAATGTTGCTCTAATTCAGAAGCAAACCATCGAGTGGCACACGACACAAACTTTACGAGCAATAGAAATAAGGTTAATTACTCAGCTCGTCGTACACCAAACCGTTTTGTGCATTTGGCTAGAGAAACGCCGGAAAAACTGTCGGTTGGCCAACCGGCATTCTCCATTTCCAGAATAGAAAAACACTGAGATTGGTCGGCAAATAAACTAACATTATCTTCATTAGCACTACGGCGGGTTGTTATCTTCGTTTACATTTCAGGCTCGTTCTATCTCGGCACAGCTTTGCTGGCGACAATCCTAGGAACGGAATGGTGACTGAGGTTGCTGTTTGATTCGTTCGTGTACAAGTCAGATAGCGAATGCATAATGTTCCATTGTTTGTCCGGGAACCGGGTACGATAGCGAACAATTGGAGGCGACCAGTTATACGTATGGTTTTCCGCCTGCTATGCTAAATCTGGTTGTTTGTCACAAAACAGCAAACAATACGACCACCGGTTAAGCCGGACTTTTGATCTCACATCCTGTTGGAGCTCTGTCGTAGCACGATGGACGCACGATGCCGCATGCTAAATCCTAGTTTTGAGTCTAAAAATTGAGAGTGTATGTAAGCAGCTGTCTAAAGCACATTGTTTACAAGCTCCGCACCGTCGCCTGTATTTCGAAGCCGTGCCGTTTTGCAACCACCTAATGGTATAAGTCCAAATCTGTTTTAAATTCTCCAGATTGATTTAGTTTGGTTTGTACTTAGAAAGAATGTTGTAGTAGAACAAAGCCAACTCGTATGTAACTGAGTTATATTGATTGAACTTCCAGCATTTTTCGCAGGCCGTAAATCATGAATCAGTTTTAATAAGACAAACCAAAAAACAATGCTGAAAATATAAAGATATATTATCTTTACAGTTTGAACTGGTTTTTGTCGACGTTTCGCTGTTCCGAAAAACAGTGACATTTTCTTGGTTCCGAAAGAGCAAAGCTCTAATTAGCTGTGAATTCCTCATCGCGTGTGGAAGATATGGATGTCTCGTTTTCAACAGCGTTTGCCCATTAAAAAAAACAGATTGATCCGAAGCATGCGGCGTACTAAACCCATCAGGACGCCATGTTTGTCTTTGAAAAGGTTATGTGTTGACCAAAACGAAGCACAAAGGAGTAAGGCGCTGCCAACTTAACAATGAAGTCTAACAGATTGATTTCTGGTGCAGACACCGCTAGACAACACGATGAAGGTCTGCAAATCGAAAGCATATAGCAATCAACCAATATTAGGTGAGAGATGAGACACTTGTTCGACTAGTACTGAGCAGTTTATATTTCAGAACAAAGCTAATTGAAATGATTTATCATTATTCGACGTTTCAGGTGCCGTCAGATATTTTGCAGATATTTTTTCATAGCCAGTTGGCTACGGACCATGTGCAGAGATATTGAGGTTCTCCAGCATGTCATCTATGAAATTTTGAGAACTTCAATTGGCTGCTCTTTTCGCCATAAATTTCTTCAAAAACTACCTTATCACACAGCGAATCATCACGCAGCTGATTAAGGTACAAGAATTCAAACTTGTTACCGAGAGGAAAGAATCACCCAGCGAAACACGTTTGGTCTGAATTTTTTCCCTATCCTGTCGAGTGCATTGAAGTGCTGTCAACTCCTTTCAGTTCATTTAGTTCATTGTTTTACAAGTTTAGCAAGCAGAATACAACATTTTTTCTCGTGTCCATAGAGAAGGACAAATGAATTACTCAAGCACAAGGGGGTTTTGTGAAATTTAGGAAAGTAGATTTAGAGATATTTGTTTCATCACATACTGATGAATAGTCGCTGAAGAGTCGGGTCTTTGTAAGGGACTTCAAAGCACCAACACAACTGTGGAAACGCCTCGCTCAGGAAAAATCGATGGAAACAAGAATCACATAAATGGTAAGGTCCCGGTAAGATTTCCCACGTACAACAGAAACTGAGACACAATATATGACTTGTCGTGATTGAATCCCTCAGAGGCATAAACAGCCTATGACCAGAAACCGCAGCTTCATCGCTGTCGCCATCGATCAGAAGTGAACCAGAGGCATGGTCCTTTGATTAAGGCAGCAACTGGACATTCTCCCCACTTCTGAAATGTCAACTGTCCAACATGATTGATTATCCACGCAACGCAATTAGTCAAACCTGTTCAGACTTTCTGTCGCAATTTGGAGCAGACAACTTTCAAAGTAACAGACAAGTTGGACGGAATTCCCAACTTGGGGAGTGCAGCTTGAACGTTGAATTTGGACATGTCCAGGAGTTTGCTTTCTCTAGCCCCATTGTTGAGGTCAATAAACTTCAGATGAATTTGTTGTTTAGTCGCTTATTTTGACGAAATTTCCCCCAACTCTCTCCAGATAACGCTGTTTGATCTAAATTTGGACAGTGCACTTGCTTTTTGGTTTTTGACACAAGTTTTAACGGTCCTAATGGAATTATGGTCATGGTGACTTTTGGTTACTTATTTCCAGGGCATTCCGGTTCGCCGTCCTACCTTCTGACAGATGAAGTAACCCTCCTGTTACGATGTTAGACCCATAAATTGTTGTCGTCATGACAAAAAAATGTAATAATTTTCAAGATGTCCAACTAATGACTAACATAAATTTTTGTTCAGTTAACCTCCTAGCAATCAGTAGCTTCAATCTTCAAGAAACTGTGCCCCCAGTCCAGCAAATTTTCAGAAGGACACGTTATGCAGAAAATCATACGCCTGCTTTTGGTTTGGAATGGAAATCTGACGGAACCTAATTAGCATTTTATCTCATTCAAGCGTCCTCTCAGCCTCGATTTCATTCCGATGGGATTAAGGACGGTACAAGATATCTGTCTGACATTAGCTTCTGATTAGCTTCTCGAGCGATGCAGCCTGCCGTTGATTCCGTTTGAGCAAGCGGTAGTTTTGTGAAAAGCTCATCTAACGTAAACTTCAGTTAAGATCTGTCAGCTTGACCGCTAGGTTCCTTCTCAAAGTTAGGGGCTTTGTCACTGTCGTGAGTGATCCGTGAAAGCTTTTACTACAGTCCGCTGAAAATGAATGGCTGAAAGCTCAATAGAGTTCACTGGTTGGGGCGCGTACTCATTGTTCAGAAGGTCCCTGGTTCGAACC